AATTCATATTTCTGCTATGACCGAGTGCTCATAAAATTGTAAAACTAGTTTCAATAATAACTCTTTCAGGAGGTCTTGGTCTGGTCAAAATAAACCTACATATCCTGAAACTTTTGACCTAACCTTGGCCCTAAAAACATAAACATTTGGCTTTCCTCAGTGGGATATCTGCACCCAATGCTATCATTTAAAACATGCGTATTGATGTACCTTATCAATGTAGCAATTCTGCATAATTGTGTTGAATGTTTGGGCCTCTGAACACCAACTAAGTACCGTCCATCCTTCGCTTATAAAATGTGTCTTTAATTGTATTTAATTCACACCAGGATTTTTTCTCGGCATAAAATCAAAAACACAACCAGAACTTCTAAGAGATAATAATTCATCTGAACGGTTCAATAAAGCCAAGAGGCCATCGTAGCCAATGCTGTGGATGCCAACACACTTAATCTTTGAATTGTTTCTTCATCTAAATCCCTCACAGGTAACAAAGTCGACAGCCCAACCTCCGGGGTCTGGTCTCACGTGACGGTATCGTCCGGCTTTGGGCCTTCCTTTTGGTCGTCGATCGCGGGTTGATGCTGTGACGCCCGCCTTCGCTAACCGGCCCCCTCGACCACGGACACAGTGTCCCACTCGTCGCGACCCCCTCAACCCGATTGCATCCACCACACTTTCTATCGCACTCTACGTATGCCGAGTCACTTACTGTTTTCTGCCGCAGCATTCTTAGCATCGTCCACAAGTATCCAAATTCAATCGCCACGAGTGTTATTTTTCAGTTTCAGAATCAGAATATGTATTCATACTCGAGGAATCCGATGAGCTGTGAAGCTATATTTTACAGTCATACCATATTTTTCACAGATGTCAGGTTCATCTTCTTGGTTCTTTCGGTAAAGTCACGTAGAATGGAAATAATAAAATAATAAAAAATAAAGCATAATAAAAATAATTCTCACCACGTTTCGGCCACAACGCAAGCCGCAGTCTTCTCGACAGACCTGTTCTCCACCTGAGGACGGCTGCTTGCGTTGTGGCCGAAACGTCGTGAGAATTATTTTATTATGTTTTATTATTTTATTATTATTTTTTTCCATTCTACGTGACTTTACCGAAAGAACCAAGAAGATGAATCCCTGCAGTCACGAAAGCTTTAAATCGAAACGCAGAATGAGTTTTACACATCCGTGTCACCGGGACAGCCATGGCCAGCGCGCTCGCCTGTGCGTCCTTGCGGCAACGAAAAGGGTTCCGCTTTTTTCACGCGGAGGGGGGGGAGGAGGTGAGGAGGGTCCCTTTACCTCCGGCCGCCGTCGAACGACAAGCAAGAGCATTATTATTTCCATTCTACGTGACTTTACCGAAAGAACCAAGAAGATGAATCCCTGCAGTCACGAAAGCTTTAAATCGAGATGTCAGGTTGCTTTTGTTTGAAGGCCAGCTCTCGCCCACGCGACCACAGAGGCAACGAAATACTGCGACGGATATTGAATTGCATTCATACCGTCGCAGGTGCCAACCCAAAAGGGGACACATATGATCGCATAGGTGTCCACAGTTCAAACCGTGGCAGTAACCAACACTGTGGCCACGTAGCCCTCTCCACTTCCCTCCCCCCCACCACCACCGTCCAGCTGAGGCAGCAATGGAGAGAATTTTCTTCGTGAACCAGTCATCTTTGAACTGTGCACCTCCCTCCAAGGACCAAGCCTTATTCTCCCAGACTCTGAGTCACGCATTCAGCGCCATTGTTTTCGGTGAACTCGAACTGAGAAGCCCTCCCCACAACCCTTGGGCTTGACATTGTCCAACGCTTTTTGCGACTCGGTACAATGCCAGATTTGTGGAACAACTGGAGTTTAAAGCAACACCACGGGTGAAAGGAATTCAGGAGTCAATATTTGGTCTAATGAGGCTTCGTAGAAATGGGTACTACAGGATAATGTGCTTGACATGTATATACAAACACGAGAATTCACCCACACATATGTTAATACAGCCTATGACCATGTCACCCGGAATTTACCACATCTCATCAGATCGCAAAAGGGGGTGACCACCATGCACGAAAACAGTTGTCAGTGGTGGATAACAGAGGGCATTGAAGCAAACTCCATTATTGTACGGTACTTCTGTGCCAGTGGTGTAGGATGGTTGGCATGGGCACTGGTGCACGAAATTAAATTGGGGCCCCCCTTGTCCAATCCTGCTGGGTGCCACGGTGGTTAGATGTTAACTACCTCGCTTGGTATACAGGAGGTCGTGGGTTCGATCCTGACCCTGACACCTGTATATTGGAGTTTGGTTGTGTGGATTTTTCTCCGGGCCCTTCGGGTTTTCCCTCCACATTTAGAAACATGCATTTCGAGTATTTGACTGCTATACATTTCCGCATGATAAGCCACTTTGCTGACCTATCATTTGTGGCCAGGTTGCTTCTGAAAAAAAAGCTATATAGGTAAGTGGGCCTTACCTGCTAAAATAAAAAATAATAGTTCAGTATCCCCTCGTTATTCGTGACGGATACATTCCAGAGATGCTTGTGAATAGCAAATTTCATGGATAATGACATTGGCCGACAAAAACGTATTTTTAATGAATAACATTAAATAAATACATAAATAAGTTTCGATTTAAAGCTTTTGTGACTCCAGGGATTCATCTTCTTGGTTCTTTCGGTAAAGTCACATAGAAGGGAAATAATAAAATAATAACGATTTTATTATTTTTTATTTTTTTATTTTATTATTTCCCTTCTACGTGACTTTACCGAAAGAACCAAGAAGAACCATAAATAATCTTTCTCTCTCATCACTTTATCTGATCACTTTATTTTATCACTTCATCCCATCTCTCTTTCTCTCTCGATGCATTCGCGTAGAGTTCCAGATGCGATTCGCGGATAGCCAAAATCGCGGACAGCAAGTTCGTGAATAAACGAGGGAATGCCCGCGGTGAACGATGTGCCCCCTTCTCCGCAGACCGGCAGGCGAGCCCCCATCTGGCCCGTGGGTCCACCCGCCGCCGTTGCCGACACACCCGACGGCTACGCCATCGACTTCGTGCGAAAAGGCCAGCAATGGAATTGGGGGTCACTCGCATTGTTGCCCTGTGAACTGCCTGCGAAGCCTCCCCGCTTCCCAAACCCTGCTAAGTGAATCCGTTGCCTCACACGCCCACACAGCGGCGGTGGCGGCCGCTGTGTGGGCGTGTGAGGCCCGCGCGCGCAAGAGATTACAACGATCCCCGCCGAGCGCAGCGCGTAGGCTGCCCCGTGCCTGAGTCACGCTCGCGGGGGGTGAACAAAAAAAAGTACTTATCGTGTTTCGAAAAAAAATTGATTGAAAACGTGAGGCCCCCGTGACTGCGCCGTATTTGTCCCGAGTCCAATCGCGCCGTGCGCCCTGACAGCGCGGGCAGCCCTGGGTCACGTCACCATTCGTCGGCAATTATGATCACCCCCCGCGGTAAATTATCACGACGCCCCCTGTAATGTACTCGGTCCCACTGAGATGTGTGGAATACTTCACTCAGTTCCGGCTCTGACCGAACCTACTTTAAAGGGCATTCTTTGTTTGCAGGACCAGTGCTCTAGTTTCTGCTTCCCAAGGGACAGAGGCTCCTGTGAATTACACATATGTATTACTTACACATGCACGAACAGCCACATGTGCGATAGAGTATTGTGCACAATGGATTATGTATGTATGAATGTTGAACTTCTATCGCACCGTACGTAGCCACCATAGGTGTTTCCACTAAAGCAAGCCGGCGAGAGGAATGATAACGAATGGAATGTCACGTGCTTCCTTCCTTAGACGGTGAGAGCACCCGAGGTGCTCCCGGCACTCATTATGTTAACGCCACGGTGGCGAGATCTCAACTACCTCGCCTTGTATACAGGAGATCGTGGGTCTGATCTCGTATATTTGGAGCAGAGGTCGCAACCGGGTACCCGATACCCGTACCCTACCCGATACCCGGCTACCCGTACCCGGCAAGGTATGGGTACGGGTACCCGTTTGCGACCTTGGTGCGGCCGGGTACGGGTACGGGTAAGGAATCAAAACCCTTTTGCGACCTCTGATTTGGAGTTTGCGTGTTCACCCTGTGGTCACGTTCATTTTTCTCTGGGTCCCCGGTTTTTCCTTCCACATTTAGAAACATGAGTACTTGGCTGCAAGCAATGTCCACACGATTAGCTACTTCGTTGAGCTATCATTTGTGGCCAGGTCGCTTCTGTGAAATAGCTACATAGCCCAAGTGGGCCTTACCTGTTAAAATAAAAATAGTTTCGTAAAAATATTGCTTGGTTTAGTTTCGCTTCATTCTGTGAGCCAACAGCATTCAAATGCACACCGCACGCTCCTAATGAACAAATAGACGCATGAACAACCGGTCGTGTATGTATGTATTCATGTGCACATTCAGCTTTATGGATTTTCGGGCCGAGTGATGTTCGCGAGTATCTATTTTACAAAAGACATGGATAAAGAGGCCCTGTTGTGGCTAGGACCAATCATGGCCACCGTTATCTGCAGCGGGTACTTGTTTTAGGCTGAGTTGATGCAATGGATGCCCAGTTGGGTTCAGATACCAATTGTTATAATTGCATCTGGATTGTGAGGATTATTGCGTAGCACATGAACCACACCTTCCCTAATACACAAAATGTGCATAAGGCCACGCATGCATGCATACGCTCACACACGTCTGCCAACGCACATCGTGTGATGAACATTACTCTCATATGCAGGGTGGGTGGGAAAGTGCTTTCCCTCTGCTGTGCAAATGAAAAAACATAATAAATTCAGAGGTAGCCCTGCAAAATCCACTTTCATGTGCCGTTCTTTAACACGAAGGTAAGGGTTGCGCTGCTCCGGGAGTGATCCAAATTATTGTCTCGTGACAATCGGAACAACATTTGTGGGGGGGGGGGAAAAATACCCCAAAATATTTAAGTAAAAAAGAAACATTCGTGAGAAAATCCGTACCTGGTGCGTTCGCCCGATGACCCCAAGGACCCTTGCCGCCTGCCCCGTGCGTGCGGGAAACCACGCGGAGGCCTGCAGCACCTCGCGCAGGGCCCTGTCGAGCCCCCGTCCCTCCACGTCCGCTCCCTCGGCTCCATCGCCACCTACGCAGCCTCCGGCAGCCCTGACGGTGTCCCCCGAAGCACCGCGAGGCGGGTCGGCCGAGGGATTCTCCGGGAGTGCCGGGCCCCTCTCGGCTGCTGCTGCCGCTCCTGCCGCTGCTGCTGCTGCTGCCACCGCTGGTGCTTCTGCTGGTGCTGCTGCGGCGGCTGCTGACGACGCAGCTGCTCCGGCGACGGCGAGTGATGTGACGAGCAGGGCGGGCGCCCTCTCGGCCAGCTCTCCCAGCAGAGTGAAGGCGATGTCGCTGTGCTCGGCCATCCTCAGGAGAGGGAGCAGCTGGGGGACGCATTCGGAGAGCACCTGCGCGCGAGACAGGGGCGGCGGTGCAGCGCGTCACAGGGCGGGCGATGGCACGCGCGCACGTGATCACGCGTGCGGTGTGGTGCGGCACGAGTTTGTCGATACGCTGTCTGCTGGACGAGGGCCTCCCCACGCCGTGCAGGTCTTGGGGGTTGTTTGACCAAACCTCACCACGCTGGTCAGTGGCGGGTCCGGTGAAAGTGATGAAGTATGGCTAAACCTCACACAAAATTTGCAGAGTCTGTCCTCTCAGCTCAATTACGGCCATAAAATGTATAATTCACTCCCTATTACTCACACGACTAGATTACTGCAACTCCCTCATACTCACTCGGAGGGAAGCTAAGGCATGATGAACACCCTCGGTATCTAGGAGTTATCCTGGATCGGACGCTTAACTACCATCACCACCTCAAACAAGCTAAAGGCAAAACGAAAGCACGAGTGAATATTATTCAGAAACTTGCAGGAACAACCTGGGGAAGCGATGCCAGCACGTTGAAGATATCGACGCAGGCCCCTGTTCACTCCACTGTCGAGTACCGTGCCCTGGTGTGGGGTGCAAGCCCTCACGCGAACCTTGTCGACGCCGAAATTAGCAACACGCTTCGTATCAGCAGCGGTTCCGTAAAGTCTACTCCACTCCCGTGGCTTCCTGTGCTGGCGAATATCGCTCCGGCCAACATCCGACGCGATGATGCGACGACACGGGAGTACAACAACAAGATCATGAAAAACTTCACTCTGCCGCTCCGTCAAGATCTAAAGGAACCCCCACGCCGCCCAAGGCTAAAATCCAGGAAACCGTTCTGGATGAGCGCCTCCGCTCTAGCAGCCAAATTTAATGACACCGCCACTCGGTGGTCTGAATCACGGGGGGCTCTGGACAGGGCAAACAAAAACATGATTCACGATCCGACGGTGGAAGTACCGGGATTCTCTCTTCCACGACGACTATGGACCACGCTGAACCGCGCTCGAACACGACACGGCAGATGCGCGTGCACGTTCAATAAATGGAATATCAAAGAATCGTCCAACTGTAACTGTGGAGAAGTCCACACCATCAAGAACATCACCGATGAATGCTCCATCCATGCACATCCTGGCGGTATCGCTGAAATCCACACTGCGTCAACCACACCATTGGACTGGATAAGGAACCTTTGCATTCATTTATGATGATCATTAAGAAAAAATAAAAACTGTTGCCTTTCAAAATGCCAAATGAAAGAAGAAGAATCCCCGCCTACGTATTTAAACCACTCCCAGACATCAAACTCTCCTAATCCAGCCACGTTGGCTACACATCTACTACCGTTGCCTTTTCTAATTCCTCACCCGAGTTTATAAATCTCTCCACGGTCTTGCCCCAAAGTATCCTCTCGCTTCACTCCACGCTCCTTCTCGCACTCTCCGTTCACAATCCCAGCTGTCTCTGTGTCCCACCTCCTCCCTGTGCCCAATCACGATCCCTCCTTTCTCTCACACTGGAACACACTTGCCCCTACACGTCCAACAATCGGCCTCACTATCCACTTTTCGTTCGTCCCTTAAAACTCACTCACTATCACTCGCTTACTCAATCTCCCTTCCCCATCGCTAACTCCACCACTCCTCTTCCCAACTTCCCCGCAACGTTTCGTCACACTCGTCCATCATGCACCCACTCATTGTCACTTTCGTCATCGTTCATTTCACGCGTCGTCATTGTCCAGCATGCGCTACCAATGCTTCTCATCGACTCCTCTCATCCCATGACACTATTCTGCTGTACAAATAGTTAATTATTTTTAAAATATTAATAAAAATAAGAAATATAACATAAACACCGCCCCCCACACCCGTTATGGCCGCCACACTAATGATTGACAAACGGCAGAAAATTGGACAATTTTATATCAGTATAAGTATATCATGTACGGCCTCCTGTCAATCTACTGGTGAACGAATGCCATGGCACCCTGCGTCAGTGACGGGAAGGGGGGGGGTTTGTTTGACCATACTTCACCATGATGGTCGTTACAAGTTGGCGAAGGGGAGAGGGGGGAGAGCGCTCGGGAGTGGTTCAAATGTCAAGTAAATGTTTTTTTTGGCACAAGTCTGCCACTCAACGCGCCATCACATTAACAATCACGACTGATATTGAGCCATGGCTGGCAATCAAACTTGGATTTTCCCACTTCATGGCCTGTTGCATGAACCGCTGTCCCTCTGGTTCCACCCCACAATTGTATTATTTCAGCCAAAGTTATATCAATTTCATTTACATTCGTTTTTTTTCTCTCTCTCTCAAAATAGAGAGAGAGAGACACACGCACACAGACATATTGTCATTGGGTATTAATCTGCGCATTTTGTAATGTCACTTGTTACACTCGGTTTTTTTCTCTCTCTCTCAAAATAGAGAGAGAGACACACGCACACACAGACATATTGTCATTGGGTATTAATCTGCGCATGTTGTAATGCCACTTGTAGTTGTTACACATTACTGGGATACATGGAACCAATTCTCGTAGCCGCGTTATCTAGAATGAGTCACAAGCGTATTCTATTGCCTGCTGCACTTAATCTGGAAATAATACGTTACGATAAAATGAAAATCTCTAGTGCTCCATAAAACATGGTGACTAACTAGAATAACATGCAATAGAAAATGTGTGTGACTCAGTGCAGTTGTCAATGCAAAACATTGGCCACTAAATCACGCCTGGAAATACAGCAACTGCGTGTTCCTCGCTTGATATGTGCGCACGCGACACGGTTGTTTGATGTGAAGGAACGATCACTCGTGTTTATGAATTTGATGTTCAATGCATAAAATCTCGCGCGGGCACATGAAAGCATCGCATAAAGGCTGTGATTTATTCCGATCATAAAAACTGTTGTTGACTGTTAGGGTTGCGGGGAGGAAATGCAGATGGACCTAATTAAAACAAGCGCTCCATTCTTTTTTTGTCTTTTTTGTTTTCTCCTGGACCACCTCTAATTACGCAATTGGCAACGTGTCGTGAAAATAAGATTCCATTTGGAAATCTTGTACAGCCGTGCGGTGCAACCCTGAGTGTCAAAGAACGCCTGCGGACGAGAATTTTTAGTCAGGTCTTCTGAGAAATTCTTCACGCGCCCTTTTTTATCCTTTACACAGTAGGGATCACACTTTCCAACATATTATGAAGTGCAAAACCAAGTTCAATAGGATGCTCCTGCGCGTGGTCTTCGTGGTTAGTGCCTTATTGCTACTCGACGTGCGTGTGTGTGTGTGTGTTTCATTGTACCGCTTGCTGTTTGGCATGAAGCTCTCAGCATGTGGATCAAAACGTTGGACATCGGACGGAGTTAATCTAATGGCCTTAGGTCATCAAACTAATGACACCTGAGCAGTTGCATTGTGGATGGCTGCTCTGAGCCACCTCGGCCACCTCTTATTCTGTTCTTGCGAATGGCAAGATGTTCGGGAGCTAAATGTCAATGTCGAGGTCTGCTAGCCACGACGAGAGGGCTTCAGGACAGATAGAGTTCATGTAGTCTGGCTATTCCTCCTTAATTGAAGGAGTGCAGAGTACAGGGGTTCAATGTACGGCCCGTAGTGTTGGCTGCATGGCCACAATCGCACCTGTGGCTTGTCTTTAATGTTCTATTCATGAAATACTTATTAGAGAAATGTTTGAAGATATTTAACTTTGCAAGGCATCACACACCCTCAAAAAGTTAAATGCCTGGATACTATCACGTTGTTAAGAAAAATTGAATATAAAGCAAAAATCACTTTTGTTTAAATAGTGTTTTCTTAAATTAGCCTTTCTTGTTTTTTTATATGACAAGATTTGATTAATTGGCCATTAGCAACAGTATGTAAGTAATATACTACTTATTCGTGGCTTGTTATGATTGCAGTAGGGCTAAGGCAACATATGTTCTTGGTTATCCAATGCTGCACGCATGCTCCTGCATATTAAGTATTATAAAAATTAATGTACGCAATACCAACGAGCCACAACTTCAATCACAAAGTAATTCCATCGTAATTATCCATTGTTTACACATAAACGAGATGTTAATCGTTAAATAATTGCGCTGTAATTAACGACATCGGTCGCTAATATTACGTTTGATTATAATAACTTACAGCCCTGTGTTCATCCGATGCTGGATGCAAGGGCTGGCCCTGCCACGTCATTCATGGGCAGTTGTTTGACCATACAGCACGGCGCTGGTCAGGGTCTGTTGGTGAGGTGGGGAAGGCACCATGACCATTTAATATATCAATCGCCACTGATGTTACCCGTGGCTGGAAATCAAACATGGGTGAAATCAGTGCGAAAATACGTTTTTTTTTACTCTTGCATGATTTTGACGCAGTTGTCCCAGACACCTATATTTAATCCGGGCCTGCGTCACTTTGAAGTACCGAACTTTCATGCACGATCTCTGGCCACCGTTTGTTAAATGCACAAGTGGCCTCTCGTGTGTCTCTCTCGCTCACGCTCCGTAGATTTCCGCTGGGGATCGCCAACGATTAGACTTGGTTGCGCCGGTGTTTCTGCACTGGGTGTTGGCATTCAGATATATATATATTTTTAAGTGCAACCCATCCAGAAAATACCACTTAGAACACGCTCTACGTCCCACGGAGGTTTATATTGTCCACAGTCCCACACGGCCTGCTGTGAGCGGCACATGAAGGCGGGGAACTGGTGAAAGGCTTGACGCGGCAGTCACAGCACGCCGCTACGACTCACCTGGAATTGTGACCGACGCTTGTTTCGAGCCCTGCCCCGTAGCGACCCGACTCCACGGAGATCGAATTCGCGCCACGTGGCCGCGCGCTTTGCACGAACAGCACCACCAACGAACGGTCCACCGAATAAGCATTCGACACGGCCGCCCCTTGTTTTCGGCATGCTTGTGTGGTGGTTGAGAGGATGTAGCCTCCCTACGGGTTGAAGCATTCTCTAACTCCGAACAATTATTGCTGCGACCGTGCCGACGCGAAG